GGGGGGCCCCCGGCGCCGGGCACTTGGGGGCAAATGCCCAGCTCCCGCACGGATGGAGCTGGGTCCAGGGAGACCCGCGACTGTCCTGCAGCGGGGAGGGGCCGTGCGCGCCCCACTGCCACGCCCAGAGCTCCTGCCCCATGCCGCCAGGCCCGGAGCACGGCAGCAAGAAGGGGAAAGAGCCAAGCAGCTCCCTTTCTGGTGCGGGGCCCTTTCTGTGCCTGTACGCAGCCGGGCTGGGGGTGCATACGGATGGAGCTGGGTCCAGGGAGACCCGCGACTGTCCTGCAGCGGGGAGGGGCCGTGCGCGCCCCACTGCCACGCCCAGAGCTCCTGCCCCATGCCGCCAGGCCCGGAGCACGGCAGCAAGAAGGGGAAAGAGCCAAGCAGCTCCCTTTCTGGTGCGGGGCCCTTTCTGTGCCTGTACGCAGCCGGGCTGGGGGTGCATCTGGTACCCGGCCTATTGGACACAGCCAGGCCCGTTTGGCTTTGTGGGGCACGTCTCCCATCCCTCTGCTCAGCCATGTGGGGAAACCTGCCCCCCAGGTGCCGGGGGGAGGGGGGGATCAAGCCAGGAGTGATGGGGCAGAGTGTTGAATCATGAGAAGGTAAAACAAATCGTTCCTCCTAAAGGGGAAGAAATGGGGAGGCTGATGGGTCTTTCCCCTGCCCCTCCGCCCCGGGGTAGGGGCCCCAGCTTAGAACACACGTGGGACAGCCCAACGAAGTGGACTAGCGGCGTTTCCCCCACCTGCTCTCCTCCCAGGATGGTTTGGGCACCTTAAATGTGATCCAGAGGCCGGGATCCCAGTGAGGAGACGAGGGGGAACGTGTGATCCAGTGCCTGGGATCCCAGCGAGGGGAGGGGGACAGCCGGCCCACTGGCCTGGATCTAAGTTAGCGCGACTGCCATCTTCCCTGAGGCACGGCCGCCCGGGGGGGAAGGGGGCCCCAGGCCCCACAGGGGCCCCCACAAGAAGGTCTGAGACAGGGAGTGCCAGGAAGAAGCCCCCGAAATTGCTTTGCCCCAGGCTCCCTGAATCCTCCAGGCGACCCTGCCCTGAGGATGTGGTTGGGGGGCTGATCCCGGCTAGGCGGTACAGCCCCTAGCCAGGCCC